CCTGGCCCAGCCCTGAGGATTGAACCCAAGACCTTTGTACTGAGCTGCATTCCTCAGCTCCATTTTTATAATTTTTTTAAAATTTTGAGGCAGGGTCTTGCTCAGCCACACTAAGTTGCCCAGGCTGGGGTTGAGCTTTTGATCCTCCTGCCTCAGCCTCCCAAAGTTTTGGGATTGTAGATGTGCACCACCACCCCTAGCTCTGAGAGTCCCTCTTGTGTTGCATCATTGTTGAGGTGTGCACCGATTAGATGAGGCTCCTCATGGAAGGATGTTACCCCTTTGATTAAGGAAAGCTCACTGGTGATTGTGTCTGTAACGGCCCTGGACTTTGTCTACAGGAACTGGTGGAAAGGAGGAGAACCATGATGGAAGACTTCCGGAAGTACCGGAAGATGGCCCAGGAGCGCTACATGGAGCAGAAGAATGAGCGTCTGGAGCTGAGAGGAGGTAACTGGCGGGCTCTGAGGCTGTGCAGAGAGAAATGGGGCCCTCTGCCTTGGGCTGGTCCTGCTGCTTCCCATCCTGCCAGGCCAGTTGGGGATGGTCCGCCTGAGAGTCCGCCTTGCTCTCCTCACTTCTCAGGGGTGGACACGGATGAGCTGGACAGCAATGTGGACGACTGGGAGGAGGAGACCATTGAGTTCTTTGTCACAGAGGAGATCATTCCCCTTGGGAACCAAGAGTGACCAGAGCACTGTGGTGAGCCCCCTTCCCCCTGGGAGCCCCTGTGGACTGGCATTACCACTGCCTGCCTGGCCCCTGAGGTAGCAGATACCTGTGTAAGAGTGGGACTCGAGCTCCAGGGTCACGAGGCTGGAGTGGAATGTGACGAGGATGTGCAGAGCCACTCCTAGGGTCTGACAGCTGCTGTCCAGCTGGTCAGGAGATGGCATTGGCAGGCGAGGAGATGCCTGGGGGGATGGAAGGGCCATGGGTAAGGAGACCCTGGCAGGTGAGGTGAAGTGCCAGGGCAGAGGCGAGAGCAGCTTGCCAGCTTCAGGGGCCTTTGCTAGAGGACCGCCTCAGGCTATCCTCCAGGAAGGAGGAGGGCACAGCCACTGTGACTCCGGTGCTGGCTGTCACCGGCCGGTTCTGAGGGGGACACACAAGTGTGTGCGTCCAGGGACTCTGAGGGCTCTGCTGTTGTGGGGTCTCAAGGGCCAAGCCATGTGGCCCTAGGTGCTCAGGTGCTGCTTCATCTGTCTCAGGCCAAATAGTATGTCGTGGGCTCACAGCTGGCTCCACACTGGAGGTAAGTGTGGTCCTCGAGGCTGAAGCAGGTCTCCCACTCTCCCAGCCTCATAGAGCCATGGCTGCCAGGTCTGCTTTCAGCCGGGCAGGTCAGTGGTGGTCCTGCTTAGCAGGTGGGTCTTAGCAGCAGGATGTGGAGTAAACAGTTTTTCGTGTTTCAGGTCACCGTGCCGGGCCCTGGCATAAGGCCCTCCTACGGAAGCCTTCATAGCTTCTGGTTTTTACCTGTGCTGTCTTTCACTCTGGACTGTGAACACACCTGGGATCCTTCCATCTCGACACGATCTTGTGCCTTTAACCCCTGGTGTCCACAGTGGGCAGTTTTAAGGCACTGCTTTCACTTTCTCCTATTTGGATGTCACCACCGCCATGCTTGCTCCTGGACTCGGGCTGCAGCATTCCCGCAGCTACTCCTGCTGTGGTGGTATTTCCAGGGGCCGCCGCAGCTGAGTGGTTACTCTGTCCGAGGACTTGCTGCCCCTGTGTGGGCCCAAGCTGGGTACATCCTGGAGACCAGCAGGGAGGTGCCACGAGGCACCCAGGAAGCACCACCTGTGCCTGCCCTTTGGGGGTGGCAGGTCCTCTTGGCAGGCTGAGCGTGGAAATAAAGCAAACCTGTATGAACGAGCTGTCTTTTTCCTCTTTGCGCATAGATCGTGGCCTTGACCCTGGTGCCTGTTCCCTCCCCAGTGGTAAGGGTCTTTGGCTAGTCCAGGCACGGCGACCTCTGTCCCTCGGCACACATAGCTGCCCTGCAGGGACCCTTGAGGCAGCCAGCTGGGGAGTGTGCTCCTGCTCTGCCATCTCCGGCCATGAGTTATTAACATCCATTGGGTCCAAAGTGGAGTTACTTGGATTTTTTGTTTTCTATGAAGAAGCATCATTTCACCTGAGAAGAACTTTGCAAGTTAGACAAGGTGGAAAGTCGCAGGCCCTGTGTCCGCATCCTCAGTGTTAGGCTCTCCTGCTGGGAAGGGCAGGAGCAGCCCCTGGTTTGGCTCAGTCCCACTTCGGTGGTGCAGCTGTCTGCCCTGTGCAGTGTGGCTACCCGCTCCCCTGTACCTCATGGTGCTGTAAGCACAGAGGGGCACTGAGGGTCTGTGGCCAGGAGCATTGCAGGCCAAGGCCTGCTTGAACTCTCAGGACAGTCTGCTCTCGGCAGGGGACAGAGCCAAGTGCGGCCCTTGAGAAACCCTAGGAATTCTGTACTGATGTCCGCACCCTGGGCTCATGGTCAGGGCCTCCGTCCTGGCTGGTCCCCTGCATCTTCATCTTGCTTCCTCAAGTTCCTCTAAGATGCTGTCACTGTCGGAGTCCTGCCGTCAAGCCTATCCCATGCCCTTCAGCACACGTTGCACAGCGTTCCTGGCCATTCCCATGTTCTTTAAATGTGCCAAGGTTTTATGGCAGTGAGAAAAAGGCATACAGTTCTATCACAGTAACATTTTTAAATAGCTTTCAAAAGTTTTTCACTGTTCTAAACTCAACTGTAATTGTTTTACATGATTTGTAAATAAAAGAATTTCTGAAATGCTGGTGCTTGCTCTCTTCTGCGGTAGAGACGGACTTCCCAGGACAGCCTTCTGTGGGAAAGTTCCTGCCCTGCCCTTCCCTGCCCTGCGCCTGGCTCATGAGCAGGAGGATGGGTGTTCAGGGCTCAGGTATTGGAGGGCCCGGGCCTCCCTGCAGGGCTGTCTAGGAGGAGAGTGCTGGGACCTCACTTCTGGGCTCAGCCCCCTGTCACCCAGGCCTCAGTCTTGTTTTGTTCCAGGAATGAGGCTGGGGGACGTGGACAGCAGAGGGGTGACAAGGACTTTCTGATGCCCAGCATTGATCTGGACACCTAGGAAGGTAAGAGGGCCGTGACTGAGCACAGCACTGACTCTACATGGTTAAACTGTCCAGTTTGGGTCCCAAAGAAGAGGCTGGGTGCTGCCTCCCGGAGGAGAGCCTGTGGCTTAGTGACCTTGAGTGACTCTAACCCCACTCAACCTCTACACACTTTGCAGCTCTAGTTGGAAGCCGTGCAGTGGGCTCAGGTCTGGGCTTCCTGGATTTAAGCTTTGTGTTGGTCCAAATGCAGGAGCATTATGAACCAGCCTGGTTCCTTGCATGCCTGACTGGAGAGCTAGGGGCAGGACCTTCCTCCAGGGTGCAGTGGGAAGAGCCCAGCAGCAAATACACCTGATTAGTCTTTTTTTTGGTACCGGGGATTGAACCACTGAGCTAAATCCCCGACCCCGCCTGATTCAATAGGCCCTGGTGTGGAGACTGACTAGAGAAAGGCTTGGAAGTCACATCTGCATGTATCTCACAGGTCCTCTCAGGGTTGCTTTGAAAGGTGTCTGGAAAAACGAATTTACAAGATGTTTGATTTGACATTAGCAGTTGCTGTTTGTTCCCTGGAATGGGAAAGCTGTAAGGCCATGGGAACCTGCTATGTCAAGGTGGCTCCAGGGTGGACAATGTCTCAGGTGACCCTGTGGCTACCCCTCAAGGACTCAAGGTGGAAGAAAGGGGCCCTGCACTGCAAAGAAGAAGTTTAGTCCATCTGCAGGGCAGGTGGCAGGTGGGCTCACGGGGCACAGGAGGCCTGTGGAACCTAGGTCGCCATGGCACTGGCGTTTGGGGCCCACTGAGCCATGAGTGGGCTGTCCTGACTGCAGAGAGGGTTAGAGGTGACACCACGTTTGTAAACAAGCTCTCGGTGGCCCTGGCTGCCCCTCCCCAAGGACCCAGCTGATGTCATGGGGCGGGGCAAGGTGCACTGAGACAGGTCTCCTTGCCTCCGCCTCTGCCAGGGTTGCAGGAAGCACCAGCCCTCCTAGCCATAGGGCACCATGGCCTCCCAGAACACCGCTGGCCTCTCTCCAGCCCGGGGCAGCCCGGCCTTCCGGGAGATGGAGCCCAAGGACCAACAGGTCATGGTGAGCACCCCTTCCTCCCAGTGCTGCTGTCCTCTCCTGCCACTCCCAGCCCAGTGCCCTCAGGGCAGGTCCTCTGCTCCTCGGCTGCCCCTCTCTGGGACCTAGTGACCTCCAGCCTCTCCTTGGCCCCTGCCCTGTGAGCCCTCCTTAGGAACCTCAGGGCCTGGACCAGGACCCCAGATCGGGGCAGGCACCTACTGCTAGGTGACTTGGATTGTGCCTGTTTGCCTTTGGGTGAGCTAAGGCTGGGACTTGTTCCAAACCTGTAGTCTAGTCAGAGACCAGCATGAGTGGCCACAGCTCATACGCCTTCCGTGGGCCCCCTTAATAAGGGAAGCCAGGTAAAGAGCATGGATGGCCTACAGTCTCCCTTTTGGTAGACAATGTCTTCCCAGAGTGCTGTCTGCTGGCCTGATGAGCTGGGCTTGGTGTGCACCTTTTCTGGTGGTCGGTACTGGTGAGGTGGTAAGTTCCCTCTGCAGGCGGGGCGGGTTGCTCTCCCTCTTTGTGCCTTAGTCTCCCATGTGTTCAGTGAAGCTGACAGTAGCTTGAGTTCCTCAAAGCATCGCTGTGGGGCATGAGAAACTTCCTGTAAGTGTTGAGGTGTTAGCACAGAGCCAGGGATTTCTCAGGGTTGGACTTTCACTGCTTCCCCAAGAGGAAGAGCAAGGGGCAGAGGGGAGGTCTTCGAAGGACGTCTGCGAACGTGCTACTGGTGTCCTACCCACAGGTGGCGCTTCGGATCCGCCCACTCAGTGAGGCTGAGCTAGAGGAAGGAGCCACCATCATCGCCCACAAAGTAGGGGACCAGGTGAGGTGGAGCCAGGGGACTTGTCCACGGTGGGGCAGCTGTGAGGCTCAGCGCCTCTGTGTTCTTTGCTCGTTTACCAAACTCATGCAGGGGTCAGGCTCTGCCATGCCCTGGCCCAGCTACTGTGTCTGGGAAGGCCTAGTGGAACCCTGGAACAGCAAGGACCAGAGGGCCCTGCAGGAGCTGCCTGAGCCGTGTGGCCACTGGGCTTGATCTCCTTGGGAGCCGGGACAGCAAGAAGAGAGGTCAGGTGGGCAGAGGTACCAGTCAGGTCTACAACTGCTGCAGTGCCCAGGTGGTTCTGCTGAGCTACCCACAGCTGGGGAGTGTTTGCTCTCGGCTGTCACCTGCAAGGGTAAATGCAGAGTCTGGGGGAGACATGGTTGGTGGGTTAGACTCTCCCGCTTGTCTTCCCTGAGAGTGAAATTCGGCTCTGGGGAGGGCAGAGGCCCCAGAGTGCTGGTGGAGAGAGATCCAGACAGCTGCCCCCGGGGACAGGAGCACCCAGTCTTTGTCTGGTGTGACAGGAGGAAGATGACACGGATGCGACACCCAGGGAGGGGCAGTGGTGAAGCTGTGGAAAACCAAACCAAGGGAACGAGATGGCAGTCAGGGCGAGGGAGCGAAAGGTTCTGCAGGAAAGGACTAAGCTCTGCAGGGCTGAGGGCTAATGCAGGCACTGAGTACTGCTCTGCCAAAACTCACATGTGACAGTCCCGTGCTGGAGATGGCACTGCCATCGCCTGGCATCATCAAGGAAGGAGACGGGAGACCTGACGGAGATGCAGCACCCAGAGCCCATGTTCCGACAGGGTGTGCACCCCAAAGACGAGGCCAGCATTCTGGTGCCAGCGGGTGGGGCAGGGCTGCAGGAAGCAGCTTAGTCTTCAGAACAGTAGAGTGTGTTTCACACCACACAATTCACTTAGTCCACCCTGCTAGTCACAACATTTTCATAACCTGGCCAGAGACTCCACACTCTTTAAGCCGCCAGAACCCCCTAACCTGGCCCTGGCAGCCACTGGTCTGCTTTGTCTGGATTCTGGATGTTGCATAGAAATGAAACCCCACAGTAGCTTCTACCTAGCCTGCTGTTACTGAGGCTCGTCTGTGTTGTGACGTGCTCACATTTTCCCTTAACTTTTTAATTTGAAATGACTTCAGACCAATTACAAAGTTGCCAGAGCCCTATGGGGCTCCTGCATTCCTGTGCCTGGATTTCCCAGATGTTGACATTTTACCATGACCTTGCTTTACCATAACCTGATATAACCCTTTCTCCCAGGTACAGACTCCTTTCTCCCCAGCCCTTTTTAAAAATTTTTGAGACAGGGTCTCACTCAGTTACCTGGACTGGCCTCTAACTTGCAATCCTCCTGCCTCAGCCTCCCAAAGTGCTGGGATTACAGAACATGTGCTGTTGCACCTGGCTTCAATAATTTCTTTATATGAAAAGAAGTCTTTTTCTGGCCTGACGTCCAATGCAGTTAATAATTTTTGAGCACTTAGAGCTCAGGGCTGTGCCTATTGGCCCATGCACCCCTCTCAGCCCCTTGTGGTGGGTTCTATGATCACTGCCTTTTCACAGGGGAGAAAACTGAGGCTTGGAGTCGTGACTTGTCCGAGGTCTCATGCCTGGTAAGCTGTGGAGCCAGGCTGGGAAAATAGTCTGCAGGGCTCCAGAGCCCTTGTGACCGCCAGCTCCACTGGGCCCCTCCAATGGCCCTCCGAGTTGGAGCCCCATCCGATTTCACCTGCAGCACAGGCCTGGCCCACCATGGCTACACACAGACCTGGCCCCGTGTCTTCTTGTCCTATAGCCCTCTTGGTCTTGGAAGGAGAAGGAAAGCAGAGTCAGCTTAAGTCACAGGACAAGAGCAGGCCAGCAGCCAGGAGCAGCCCTGAGGGCCTGGGTGGAGCCTGCCATTAACTCCCCAAGAACCTCTGCAGACCCTGGTTGCCCAGGACCTCGGTTTCCAAAGCTGTGACCGAAGGGGACAAGGTGGTGGCCAGATGGCATGCTCTTGGTGCAACCCCCACCATGCCCCCAACTCTGCGGTCCTCTCAGGGACCCCGGTCCCCAAGTTCCCACCAGCCAGGGTGTACTGCAATCCAGATGCCCCCCAACTCCCTAGGAAGGGCTCCTTTGGGCAGACAGGCTCCCCAGACAGCCTCCTACACTGTTTCCTAATAACATATTTCTACGGGATGGGAGACACCCCTGGGGCCCTGGGCTCTGAGGAGCAAAGCCGTGATGGAGGGTTTGTCACAACCCCTTTACTTTCCCAGTCTATTCTTGGACTATCCTTGCCCCGTGAAAATCCTCCAGGGTGTGTGGGGTGAGCACCACAGTGGGTGGCCAGCCCAGCACCCACAGGTTGCAAAGCTCCTCCTCCCCGATCTCCTTGGTTCAGGGCAGGGCTTGTCACCGTGGGGCCTGGGCCCTGGGGACCTGCTGCTGACGCGGGTGTGTTGTGCTGGGCAGAGCTGCCCTCCTGGCCAGCCTTGGTTTGTCGGAGACGTTGATGGGTGTAGTGTGAATGTGGCAGCAGCACCCGGCAGACTGGGGAGGTCACGTGTGCTTTGGGGTGCGTGGACAGGAGCGCTGCAGGCTGAAGGGGGGCGGAGGCCTTACCTGGCCCGGCCCGGCTCAGTGGGGCCCTGGGCCTGTTTCTGGGGAGTTCCGACCCGTTCTCCCTTCTCCCTCCTTTTCAGGCCGTTGTGCTCATGGACCCTGGCGAAGACCCTGAGGACCCTCTGCGTGCGCACCGGTCCCGGGAGCGCACCTTCATTTTTGACAGAGTTTTTGACCAGCACGCGTCACAGGTGCCCACTCGACCGCCCTCCCAGCCCACTCCCATCACCCCGTCTTCCCCCAGGGTCCCCATAGGAAAGGGGGAGGCACAGCTGAAAACCCAACCAGGGACCGAGAATGGGAGGCCCCCTAAGCGCCGGCCACAGGGGGGCTTCTCTTCAGGTCAGTAGCTCCCTTTCTCCCACAAGGGGCCGCTGCTGTGGGCCGAGGGGGGAGACCTCCCTCCTGCAGCCCAGATCTCAGGAAGGGCAAGGGCAGCAGATGACCCTCGGTGCTGCTCAATGTCTCAGGCTTGCTGTGGGGTGGCCGGCAAGAGCCATCCTGAGCAGAGGTGTTCACACAGAGACCTGAAGGGGCACAAGTAAGGACAGGAAGGTAGGGTTCAGCCCATTTCACAGATACGCACCAAGGCTCCAGAGGTCAGTGAGGACCACCCGGGTTCTCAGGCCAGCATCAAGTCCTGCTCCTTCCTCACCCTTCCCATCAGTGCTACCCTCTACTGAGGACCCATGCTGCCCGCTGTGCCATCACAGCCTATGAGGAAGGACAAGCTTTGAGCCCAGGCCTGCTGAGACAGGGTGCAAGTGACAGAGTCTGGGGACCTTTGGCCCAAAGTCAAGGCCCAGTGAAGGCTGTGGGACCCTGTGCTCACCCCAGTGGTTTCCTTCCAGTGGAGAAGTGGAAAATTGGCCCCAAACCTGACTCTGAACAGCCCAGGCCTGGGGTGTGCAGTCGTCCGCCAGCAGGTGTGGCTGAGGGGGATGCATCCTTGTAGACAGCAGCAGTCTCTGCCGGGCAGCCTTTCAGGCAGTGAGGCTGGGTGCCACCCGCCGGCTGTTCCCTATGGTCCTCTCATTCAGACGTTAGTGGGTTCCGGCCTTGGCTGGCAGCTCCTCCGGGGGGTCTGCCCAGGGACCACCTGTGCCTTCTCCGTGTGGCATGGGTTCTCCTGCAGCACAGTAGCCTTAGAGGTGCAAGAGGGTGAGGTAGACCCTAGAGTCCTGGCCCACAGCTGGCACAGAACTGCCTGTGCACACCTCACAGTCAAGCAGTGCCCAGGGCTGGTCAGGCTCAAATGCGGGAGATCAGACTGGGCCCCTCTGAGGAGAAGCGGAAGCATCTACAGCCTCTTCCACCTGCCACTCTTTCTCCCCCGCCCTCCAGCACCCTGAGTCTGCCCACTGAGCCCCAGCAGCCCCTTTAGCAGGGATGCGGTTGTCCCAGAGAGTGTCCCCTCAGTCAGGGCTCCACACCATTACCCAGCAGCGAAGTCCCTGCTGCTGCCCGAGCAAACTGGCTTTGCTCATGATGAGGTCCTAGTGGCACCGCGGTCAGGAGGGGTCTGATCACCAGCAGTCCTCCAGCAGCTACTGTGAGCCAGCGCTGTGTGCGAGACCCTGGAGTACCTTGTTCTAGTGGCCTCACGGCGGCCCTGCGCACAGGGCACAGATCCCCACTCTACTGGTGAGGAAAGGGCCTGCCTGTGGTCACGCAGCCCCAACCAGTACCAGCTTTGGGGTCCCAGAGGAGCAGTAGCTGTAGCAGTTTCATGAGCAAGGTGCAGAGAAGGTGCCCTGGAGGTGGGGCTGCTGTTCGCTCAGCCCAGCTGAACCCGCATGCCTTGTACACCCGCCCTGATGGTGTTCCTCCTTGAACCCCCGGTGGGCAGGGAGCTCACTACCCACACACCCTACTGCTAGGTATTGCAGTCTTGTAGCACATCCTGTGTACCCCAAACTGCCCCTGCTGTTCGAGTCTGTGTTTTATCCCAAAAAGGGGGGTCAGAATAACCAGGCATGGTGGCACACACCTGTAGTCTCAGCTACTCAGAAGGCCGGGGCAGGAGGATTGCAAGTTCAAGGCCAACCTGGGTAAGTTAGTGAGACTTGACCTCAAAATAAAGATTTTTAAAAGAGCTGGGGTTGTAGCTCAGTGGTGGAGGGCTTGTCTAGCAGGAGCGAAACCCTGAGGCCATCTCTAGTACAGCAAGGGAAAAGAGGAATCCTGATGTTCTTCCCAAGCCACTGCTCCCGAGCCTCCTTTTCAGCCTCTCAATTCCCGCAGAGAAGCCCCGGGAGAAAATCCCTTGTGCCCAGTGCTAGTGTGCATCAGGCCTCACAGTGGCAGCTCCACACTGCTGTCTCACACCAAAGGCTCTGCACAGGGAGGCTGTGTGCCCAGAGTAGGCAGTGATGGGACTGGGATGGGAACCCAGGAGTTTCTGACACGGAGCTCTGTCCTCTGTGTCCCATGCACATGACAGGGTTACACCATACTGCCACCTCCAAGGAGCCAGGCTGCCAACTCAGGCTGGACGTCCTTTGACTGCCTGTCCTTCTGTCTGTCTGCAGGAAGATGTGTACTCTGCCACCATCCAGCATTTGGTGGAGGGCGTCATTTCTGGATACAATGCAACAGTGTTTGCCTATGGCCCCTCAGGTACCGCCCAGTGCAGTGTCCCCAGGAGGGTACTGGGTTGGTGGCAGAGGAGCCTTAACAGCACAGGAGCCCACCTGCCTGGCCCTGGCTTCCTTTCACAGCTCTGAGAGGTGGGTGGGAGGACTCTGCTCACAGGTGAGGAATGAGCCCAGGGCCTGGTGTGACTCCAGAATTCAACCCAAGCCTTCACTCTGCTGCCCGTGAGAAGCACAGATTTCTTTCTCCTCTAAGTTGAGTTCAACCAACATTTGCAGACCTAAGCTACCTCTCCCATCCCTGGGAAGTAAAACCAATGAGGATCAGAGCAGGCCAGGCCAGCCCTAGTTCTGCCATTGTAGATGGGGAGAGAGGAGGAGGCAGCCTGTCCAGGGTTGCAGCGTGTGCCCGTTTCACTCATTCATCGCACACACGTCGGCAAGCGCTAGCACGTGCCAGGCTCAGAAGGAAGCAGCAGCTGAGGCCTCGCCTTCAGGGGGCAGAGGATGGGGGTGAGGCGCTCCTTGCAGGCAAGCACTCCTTACCAATTGAGGTGTGTTAATTCTCTTATCACAAAACAACACATCTGAGCCGTCTCAGGCGCCCACCTCTCCCACAGGTGCGGGGAAGACCCACACCATGCTAGGCATGGATGCAGAGCCTGGGATCTATCTCCAGACCCTCACTGACCTCTTCCAGGCCATTGAGGAGACCCAGGACCACATGGAGTACAGCGTGTCCGTGTCTTACCTTGAGGTGAGCCTGCCCACCTGCCTCCACTGCCTTGTCTGCAAAAGGGGTGCAATCGCACGAGACGCAAGTGCGTGTGTGAAGCCCCAGCCCTGTGTGTTAGCCGAGTGCTGGCTGCCTGTGCAAAGCCTCCGCCCCAGTTTCTCCGGCAGCTCAAGCCCCAGTGGGATGGAAGTCCTTGTAGTTCTTTGCACCAAACCTTCTCTGTTCCAACCTTTGTTTTACCTCAGATTTACAATGAAGTGATCCGGGACCTCCTGAACCCATCCTCAGGGTTTCTGGACCTGAGAGAAGATTCTAAGGGCAGCATCCAGATTGCTGGCATCACAGAGGTCTCCACTTTGAACGCCCGAGAGGTGAGGGTCAGCCACATCCTACAGCTCACAGAGTTCTGGTTCAAGTTTGCTGAGCAGAGACCAACATGTGACTCCATAGTGGGCTCCAGCGTTGGGATCTGAGCTCAGGGAACGGCGATCATGCCTCTCTGCTGGTACTCAGGGCAGACGTCACTCACGGACCCACACCATACCCCCTGCCCAGGCACCTGCCGCAGGCTCGGGCCTCTCGATGTAACACTCCAGGCAGCCTGGCTGGTCTAAGTCCACCTGCCACCCTGACTAATGGTCACTCCTTCAGCAAGGCCAGCCGCAGACGCTTCTGTACCTCCATCTTCTCTTTGCCTGTAGTCTGCCAGCCCACACATGACACACCCTCAGGGTGGGCCTTCTCCTGCCCAGGGAGTCTGCATGGCTCCTTCTCACCTCCTGAGTCAGCACCGACTCCTCAGGGCTCAGGCCTTGCCCCCTGTGCATGGCCATGCTGGTCCAGCTCCATCATTACCAGCCCGTCATGTCCTGCTGTGGGCTTGCTGGGGATGCCTCCTTCTGTTCTTGAGTCTAGGTCACCTTTCCACATGTACCTTGCAGTCCTAGCATGGGGATGTACACAGCGGGTGCTCAGCAGGGGCTCCCTGGCCTGAGTTCCACAGCTGCTTGCCTGGCAGATGGGTTCCAGCCCCCCAGCCAACCCTCTGCAGCTGCCTGAAGTTGGGCTGCTCTGGGCTCTGTGGAGAAGAGGTGGGTGATTCACTGGTGATGTCTGCTGTGGGTGGAGAGTGGGAAGAGCCAGTGCAGGGGTCAGGAATCTGCCATTTCTGCTCGGCCAATGGACTGATTTTTTAATTACTTCCTGCTGCCAACCAGAAATTGCCCCCCTTTCGCTACTCCAAGCACCCTCCCCGGGACCTCCACACCCCCGCTTTCTGGGTGTTTGTTCCTTGAATGCAACACCCCAACCACCGCCCTTCTGCCTGTGTCCTCAGATCATGCAGCTCCTCACCAGGGGCAACCGGCAGCGCACGCAGGAGCCCACGGCCACCAACAAGACATCCTCACGTTCTCACGCGGTGTTGCAGGTGACGGTGCGCCAGCGGAAGCATGGCCCAGACCTGGCAGAGGAAGTGCACCTCGGCAGGCTCTTCATGGTGGACCTGGCTGGCTCGGAGCGTGCCTCCCAGGTGTGGCCCCTGAGATGTCATTATGCCCACTCCTTGGGACCCCTCAGTCCCTGTCCCAGCAATGGCACTCACTGAGCGTCCCCCCCTTCTCCTGTCTCTGGGTGTGTGTGTGGAGCTCCTTGGCTACTCTCCAGTGGCCTGAGCAGTCCTAGGGTACAGGGAGCCAGCCTAGGGCCGGGCACCAAGAAGGAGCTGACAGAGGCAGTGTCAGAACAAGGTCATTAGTCAGTGACGTTGGCCACATCCCTCTGGCACTTAGCACTCACCAGTGCCATCCCAGGAGGGCAGTGTTGTCTGCACTAGACAGCATGGAAGGTTTGACTCAGGACGATGTGACCTGGCATTGCTCAGAGACGTGGGGGCCTAGGCCCGGGCCCTGGCCCCAGTCCATGCCCTTCCCTGCTGTGGCGGCCCCTCCTCCCACCGCACTGTCTGCTCTGTGTCTCTGGGCCAGGTGACCCTGAGTCTCATCGCTCCCTGCTCTGTACCAGCCACCTTTGGATGCAGGTCGTGGCTGTCTGGCTGAAAATGGAGTGTATTGGCAGAAAATGTGAGGTTCAGGGAGACCCGCAGATCGGGAGAGGACTGCCAGGGAAAAGACAGCTTGTCATAGTCCCTAGGAGGAGGGACACAGCCCACTGCCCAGGGCTACCCAGGAGGCAGAGGTTGGGCACAGGGCTGTGGTGGTGTGCAGGAGCCTCTGCCGAGGTTCCTGTGGAAGGACCAGGTGAGCAGAAGGCTCTGGGGCCTCAGGGTGTCCCTCACCACCTGCACGTGGTCCTGGCTGACAAGGCCAGGTGGATGTGGCCCGGAGTGTGGACCCCCAGAGGCAGTGGCTGGGGAGCGGGCATTGGGTGGACGGGCATGAGGGTGAAAGGTGAGCTTGAAGGTGAGTCTGCCATCCTAGGATTGGCTGAGCCGGGAGGGGTGCCTCCATGTCAGTGGCACCCCAAGATCTCACAGCATCAGAACACAGAATATAGAAGACGCAGTCAGGAGAGCAGCACCTTGAGGAGACTGCACTGGCCTGTGACAGGAGCTAGGACTGCATCCATCCCAGCTGGGCTCTGCTGTCTGGGGAAGCAATGGAAGGCAGGTTGCCCTCCCCAGGGCTGGGCACGAGGGAAGAGAGCACCAGAAAGGGGTCCAGGTCTTGGGCCACTGCTCTCCCTTTCTTCCACTTGCTGCGTGCCTTTGGGCAGGCTAGCCCCCCTCTCTGGGCCTTGGGGCTTGAGCTGTATATTCAGTGGCCTAGTGCTGTCTTCGGGGTCTGCTCGGCTCTCACAGAAAACATCTCACAAAAAGAGTTTGTTCTGGGCACAGGTCTCCAAGAAATCTCCTATCCTGACACAGACGTGTGACACAGGAGCGACTGCCCCTGGCTTGGCCACTCTGGCAGCCTGAGTCCTGGTTGGCAGCAGCTAATGTTTGCAACTAACTTGTGTGCTCTCTCTGTGCTCAGCACTGCGGACTGAACCCGGCTCCTCCCTCTGAGCCACATCCACAGCTCTTTTAACTAATAGGCTCCAACTTGTTTGTTTTGGCTTTTTTTGGTGCCGGGGATCAAACTCGGGACCCTGCGCTTGTGAGGCAGGCGGCAGAACCATTGAGCTAGATCCCTGGCGCTGTTTGTTTGTTTGTTTGTAAGGCTCCAACTTGTGATCCTCCTGCCTCAGCCTCCTAGAATGCTCAGGTTACAGGCAAGCGCCCCCCTGCCTGGCTTGCGCTGGCCTTTTCACATGCTGTCCTGCAACATCGTCCTCCTCCCCCAGCCCTACGAAGCGTGATTAGGGAGTGGGGCTGAGAGGACCAGGAGATTTGGCTGCAGTAAGCAATTTCAGCTGCTCAAAACCCTGTGCCCGGTAGGCTCTGAAACCCTCGCCCAAAGACGCTCTCGTCATTCTTTTGCGATTTCAAACACAATAAAGCCCAGAGACTTCGGAAAGTGTAGAAAAGCAAGAGGGAGAAAATGAAGGGCCATCCCTGCCCCTGCCCACGACACTACACTGCCAGGTTGTCTGCCCAGCAGTACTTTTCATTTCGGGTTTTGTCCGCCTGGCCCTGCCCGGCGGCCTTGCCCATCTGTTTGCTGGCACTTGTGGGTGGCTGAGCACTGCTGAGGCCAGGACCAGGGACCAGGGCCAGAAAGGTACAGGGCTGTGCAATCAAGGGGCCTGTGTTCCCCGGCAGCAGGCGGAGAGTCGGGAATCTGAGGGAGGTGGATGGCGGGAAGCACAGGAGGCCGGGTCACTCCGAGAGGCTCTGCAGGGTCGGGGTCTCCAGGAAACCTGGGCAACGGGGCCAGCCCCCCCCCCCCGAAGGGGACTCAGTGGCTGCAGGGTGGCACACGGGTCCCACGCTCGGCCGGCTGGCCTCTGCTGCAGACCCAGAACCGTGGCAAGAGGATGAAGGAGGGCGCCCACATCAACCGCTCGCTGCTGGCGCTGGGCAACTGCATCAACGCGCTCAGTGAGAAGGGCAGCCGCGCGCAGTACGTCAACTTCCGGGACAGCAAGCTCACGCGCCTGCTGAAGGTGAGCACTCAGGCTGGGCGGGCGTGGGCCGAGGTCCAGACACGAGTCTCAGGCACTTCCAAGAACCCCTTAAGGCACGGGGAGGTCGCAGCCTATCCCCACCTCTACCCCTCCGAGTACAACCTAGCTTTGCTTGCACACCCCCAGGGACAGGGAGCTCCCTGAAGCTGCCTGTCCCATCATGAGGGTTCTGATGTAAGAAAAGTCCTCTTTGTGCTGAGATAAATACTGTCTTCTGGTTCCACAGCAAGGAGAGACACAAATATTTTAGTATATGTGCTGCCAAAGCAAGCACAGAGATAGAAATAAATAAACAGGTGGAGCGGTAATTAAATGTCCCTATAAACTATCTCTTGGTGTAATCTGCTCTCATCAGAGCAGAAGGCAAGGCTGAGTGGCCTGGGATGGGTCCCACATCATCCGAGGGCCCCTCCTGGAGCACCAGCCCCAGCTTCCTGGCATCAGCTATCCCTCTTGGGGTTGGCTCCAGACCTGGTGGTGGCTGGGGACGGGCTGGCATCCTGGGCAGCTCCTATCACCCCAGCTCAGTGCTTCCACCTGAGTAGGATGCGCTGGGAGGGAACAGCCACACAGTGATGATTGCCCACATCAGCCCGGCCAGCAGCAGCTTTGAAGAGTCTCGGACCACACTGCTCTACTCATACAGGGCCAAGAACATCAAGACTCGGGTAAGACACCCATGCTGGGGGGGGGACTTGTAATCCTCCTGCCTCAGCCTCCCGGAGTGCTGGGGTTAAAGGCATATGTCACTGTGCCTGATTCCTCCCTCTTCTCTTTGTTTCTTTCTTCTCTTCTTGCATAAGGACACTTGGATTTAGGGACCACCCTCATCCAGGATGTTCTCATTTTGTGTTCCTCCATCACATCTGCACAGACCATTTTCCCTAATGAGATCATGATCACAGGGCCTGGGGTAGGGCTGGGGCATTGTTTGCTGCGGGGCAGGCATGGCTGTGAACTCTTCGTGTGGTTTAATGCATTTCATGCAGCTTTTGGAGGTGGATCCTGTTATCATCATCCCCACTAGCAATGGGAGCCATGGCTTCCAATTCCTGAGTGTTAGTGATTGTCCTGCCTCAGCCTCCCGAGTAGTTGGACGACAGTGCACACCAGCATGCCCAGCTCATAGCTACTGTTCCTCCACTTGCTTTCTCCCAGCCCCGTTCTGGGAACCGTCCGTCAGCACACCGGCCCACCTCCCTCTCTGTCACACAGCAGGGTGCACAGCCACCATACTGTTTGTCTACACTACTTCCTTGAGTCGAGTCTAAGGAGTCTCTCGAGTCTAGCACAATGGCTTGCACATAGTAAGCAGTCAGTGGATGACAGGAGTTGTATTACCATAATTTTTTTTCAGTACTGGGGATTGAACCCACGGCTTTCACACTGAGCTACATCCCCAGCACTTTCTTAAGGCAAGTTCTCGCTAAGTTGCTGAATTGCCCAGGCTGAGCTCGAACTTGTGGTTCTCCTGCCTCAGCCTCCTGGGGCACCACCACATCTGCTATCATCATGTTAAGCCCATGAGGAGCCCTTTCTAGTGCCCAGCTCTGAGCTGAGCACCATCAGTTAAAGCACAGAGAAGCAGCTTCTGGACAGAGAGGAGATGGTGCTTTCTGGCACTCACACAGTTGTCAGTGCTTGGGAGCGGAGCCTCGGGCTGCCAGAGGGGAATAGTGAAGACCAATTTAGAGGCCCTGAAATCAGAAGTGGTTAGGCAAGGCCTACGGTCAAGGAGGTGAGACAGAAGCTGAGCCCATGTGAGAAGTATGTGATGTACAGATGGAGCCACCGCATGGCTGCAGGTGGAATCAAAGTCCACACATTCCACGGCCCACACGTCACCGTCTGAATCTGCCAGAGAGAAACAGCACCAGCTGCTCAGGAGGCCCTGCTGCCCATCCCGGGCTGGGACCAGCAAGCTGGGACACACCCTCCTATGTAACGGAGCAGGAGGTGGGCCGGTGTGCCGACGGACGGTCCCCAGAACGGGGCTGGGAGAAAGCAAGTGGAGGAACAGTAGCTATGAGCTGGGCATGCTGGTGTGCACTGTCGTCCAACTACTCGGGAGGCTGAGGCAGGACAATCACTAACACTCAGGAATCAGAAGCCAGCCTGGGCAACTCAACAAGATCCAATCTCAAAAACACAAAAGTCTCTATAGCCCAACCCCCACTCCAGCACGTAATTAAGACATAGACTGTGTGGCTCTCTAGACACGCAAATGTGTCCACGACTGCTTGGGAGGGTCTAGAATGACACACATTAAAAAGGCAGGAGTGCTAACTGGTGGGAGGAGTTTTAAAGAATTCTCGATAGCTTATTTGAATTTTTACTGTGGTAAAATAAATGCAACATGAAATTTAGCATCTTAGTCACTTTAAGCGCACAGAACAGTGATATCAAGCACATTCACACTGTTCTGCAACCATCACCACCACCCAGCCACGAACCCTTCTCTTCCCACACAAACCCACTAATCACTCCCCGCCCCTCGCAGCCCCACCCCGCTCCTCTGCTGCCTCCATGGATTTGATGACCCTAGGGACCCCACTTAAGTGGAATCCTGCAGTATTTAGCCCTTTTGCCTGGCTTGTTTCACTGAGCACAATGTTCTTGACTCAAAGTTTGCCCAAGTTATAGCACAGGTCAGAATAGCTTTCCTCTGTGTGTGTGTGTGTGTGTGTGTGCGCGCGCGCGCACGTGCGCGCGGTGGGGAGGTACTGGGAATTTAACCCAGGGCCTTCATACTAACCTGCATTCCCAACTCTTTTTAAAATTTTTATTTTGAGACAAATTCGCACCACATCACTAAGTTGCCCAGGCTGGACTTGAATTTGTGAGTCTCCTGCCTCAGCCTCCCGGAGTGGTGGGATTATAGCCATGAGCCACCACACCTTCCTTTTAAGGTTGAATAGCATTGATTTGAAGTTTACAACATAAACACATTCATACACCATCTCAAACATGCCCTTTGAGGGGAAGTTCCCTGCAGTCCAACCTCTGCCATGTGTCCTCTCTGCCAGGTCAAACGCAACCTACTGAATGTCTCCTACCGCATCGCACAGTACACAGACATCATCTCAGACCTGCGCAGGGAGATTGAGCATCTCAAATCAAAAATTGAGAAGCAAGAGAAGAAAAGTGAACCTGACATCCCGGATGTTCAAGGTAGGGCTGGGTGTGGGCCTGGTGCCTCCTCAGGCCCCGATGGCTCTGTCACCCACCCCAGGGCTCTGTGGCCAATGTCTCTGTCCCACTGCTTCTGCTGGCCCAAGTGCTGGGTGCCCAAGTCCATTCTGAGCATCTGTATCCCAGAGAGTGATTCAGGGACCAGAGAGCCCCATGGCGGGAGTGGCAGAAGCAGGCGCAGGATAAGTAGAGTATCAACGGTCTGGTGCTGTTCATGTGAACATCTAAAGCCAAACCCACAAAACCCCACCCACATCTAATACACGTGCATGTTCACGTGTGGGAAGCGCTCATCAGAGAGAGCACTGCTACAGGGGCCGGGGGAGAGATGATTAGATGATCAAGGGGTCTTTTGACTCTTGCTGTTCTACTCAAGTTTTTGTAATAAAAACATATTCCCATAGTACTTGTGTAAATAAATACTATTGTACATCGGTGTCCAAGGGGGATCGGTTCCAGGAATCCCCAGGATACCCTAATCTTTGGGTGCTCCAACCCCTGTAGAACATGGCGTATTGTTTGCATATAAGCTGCACAATCCTCCTGTGTACCTTTTCTTTCTGCTTTTATTTGAGATGGGGTCTCACTGGGATACCCAGGCTGGTCTTGAACTCCTGCGCTCCCCAGGACGGGACCAGTCCTGGCTCAGCCTCCCAGGTAGCTGGACTGCAGGGGCAGCCGCTGCACCCAGCTACTGTCCTCCACTCGCTTTCTCCCCAGCCCCGTCTGGGGACCATCTGTCTGCACACCGGCCCGACTCACTCTCTGTCACACAGGGGAGTGTGCCCCAGCTTGCCGGTCCGGTCCCAGTCCTGGAGTGGGTACTTGGGGGTTCTGGCCATGGCCTCCTGAGCACCTGGGTGCTGTTTCTCTCAGGTCAACCTCAAGGCTGAGGTTGCTGTTGAAACCAGAGGGGAAGGACACTCACAGGGGATGCGCTGTGGATGGTGACGAGCCAGGTCATTGGGGACTTGGCGGGGCAGTGGGGTGGGAAGTGGGGTGTTGCAGAGTCCACTACATTAGGTAATTAACAAGAAGTGCAGGCTTTTAAGGGCCAAGGACCTACATAGGGTCTGAGGACGGTTTCTTTCTGCTAGCTCTCAGTTTCTGGGTCGGAGGTGCCCTGCAGCGGCAAGGCAGACAGCATGGTCTCCTTGTGCCTGGGTGCATGACGGTTGCCCTCAGGTTCTCCTGTGCTGTGGGACCCTGGTACATAGCCTCTGAACATCACTCCATGAGTGCTTTCCAGGATTCCAGTGCTTCATGAAAATGTGGGGTTTTTGCAGGGCTAGAGTTTGAGCTCAAGGCCTCGAACCTACTAGCGAAGTGCTCTAGTGCGGAGCTACATCCCTGGCCCTCTTTATTTTACTTTGAGACATGGTCTTGCTAAGTTGCTCAGGCTAGCATCGAACTTGGGATCCTCCAAGTGGCTGGGCTTTTAGGTGTGTGCCACACACACCACTCAAAACCTTGTTTTAATGGCTGGCAGTGACTCACTTATCTGGATACACCACAGTTTATCTCAGCAATCCAGACGGCTTTCTGTGTAGGGTGACGGTAGCTCGTGACCATGGCCCTCAGGTCAGGGCACCAGATGACAAACTGCCGCGTGAGCCCCCGACTGAGGTGGGAGGGCTTGCCCAGCATGCATCATGAGGCTTGGAGTACCTTCCCAGCACAGCAAAAATAAGTCATTAGGGCTGGGGATTTAGCTCAGTGGTTCCATCGCCTGCCTCGAAAGTGCAAGGTCTGGAGTTCGAACCCCAGTACCAAAAAAATAAAAAGCCATTGATTAATTACTGGTCAACTGTTATGAGTTTACCATGAAAAACAAAAGACTAGCATAGGTTTACTCCAGTTCTGTGGAGCTCGCAGTCTAGCTGGAAAGGCAGATGTGAAGTACTTGTCACAAAATATTCCTCATTACAGACATGCAGAGAACTATGCAGGGAAGCCAGGGTGTTATTAGAGCAGGAGGCAGGTAGACTCTGAGGGAGGGTGTGGTGGGGTTTCACTGAGAAGCTGACATCTGGGCTGAAGTGACCAGCCCAGCCTTACCCTCTGTGAATTCCTCAGACTGAAATGCAGGTGGCCTGCCACCAAACCACAGAGAGGGTTTGAATCCATCTACATCATCCACTCATTTATCTACCAGTCCAACCATCCATCCATCTACTGACCTAACCATTCATCTGCCCAACCACCCACCCACACAAGCATCTATTCACAAAAATATCCTCCCACCTACCTCCATCCATCTACACATGCTGGCACACATGCATCCATCCATCCACCCACCCAGGCATCTGCCCACCCATCCATCTATCTACCCATCCATCCATCCATCCACCCACCTACTCATTCATCTACCCCCATCCTCCATCCACCCATCCATCTATGCATTCTCCCACCCACCATCCACCCACAATCCATCTGTCTGTCCACCTTCAATCTATCCACCCATGTGTGCCAAGTTCTGCCATGGGCCAGACCTCACTTGGGTGGGTGAGAGTAGGGTCAGCCTGAGCTTAGCTGGCCCTGCCCCTGGTGCAGCACCCCATCCTGCCCACAGTCACAGTCGGCCCCCACAACACAGAAGAAGAGAGCCACTTGCAGATGAACAAGATCCGGGCGCAGCTCATCGGAGCCTTTAAGGAGCAGATGGAGATGCGGCGCAGCCTGGTGGAGTTAGAGAATACCAACCTCGAGCTGCATGTGGACCTGTCCCGCCACCTACTGACCATTGCAGAGTGAGTGTCCCTGCAGAGCCTCAAGGGCAGAGCCACTGGTGGGAGCCCCTGTTCTTGCTATGTCCGGCCACCTCTGCTCTCTGTGGGCCAAGGCAGGACTCTTGACCCTACTGCCTGGCTCTGAGGCTGCTGTAGTTAAGCTGAACCAGGTGGGGAGGCTTCCACCTCTCTGGTCTGTCAGGCTGGGTCCAGAGCCAGCTGGGGGAGGTGAGGATCAACAGTGTTTACGGAAGACATTAAGGCTCAGAGCTGTGGGATTGTCCACAGTTACACATCTCCTAGGCCATGGCTCCTTCTCCCTTTGCACCTCTGCCCTCGTTCCTCTCTGCAGGGAGTAGAGTAGCCATATCACATTCCCAGCCACATCAGGATGCATTTGGGGACAGCAGGGCACTGGTAACCATTGCCCCTGAACAGCAGATGGCCCCTGTAACTTCCCTGGCTGACCCAGGGCACACGGCCACCAATACATGAAACAGTTCAAGTAGCACTGTGTCCATTTCTTCTCCTTCACCCTTTGCTTCTGGTTCTACCAAGTGATCCTCCTCCTCCTTCCTCTGTTTATTTTCCTTTTTCTTTTCTTTTTTTTTCAATTACACAAACAGCACAAGACTGCCAGGCACAGTGGCACATGCCTATAATCCCAGCACTTGGGAGACAGAGGCAGGAGGATCGCTGTGAGTTTGAGGCCAGCCTGGGCTATATAGTGAGTTCAAGGCCAGCCTGAACTACAGAGTGAGACCCCGTCTCAACAAAACAACCAAAAAATAAAATAAAATAAAACAAACAGCACAAGACTTACATTAGAGGAGTTCAAACTTTAAAAATGCATTCACGATTTGGCCCCTTTCCACCCTAGCCACCTTACAACTGCTGTCCCCCATCGTTCCCATGGGTGGGGACTTGATGGCACCTCTCTCACAGAGCCTGGGTGGCTGCATCATCCTCAGAGCCCTGGGCCTGTGTGCCGTCATTGTCCCAGCTTTGCTGTAAAGAAACTGGGGCTCACTGGGGCACATTTACATGGCAGGGGCTGTGGCTGGGGAAAACTATAGATGTAGATAAATAGGTAGGTACAGATTTAGTTTATGTATGCTGAGTTTGTGGTTTATATATAGTTACATATCATTTATAGTATATGATTATATATGGTTTACATATATACTTATAGATACGGTTATACAGTGGTACCTTGTTTTACCAACTTAATTTGTTTATGATTTGGGGGAAGATGGCTGCATTTGTGTTTGTGCGGGAAAGATGGCTGTGGTTGTGTTTGTCACCCAGTGTGGAGCTTGTGAGGGGAAGCAAGATTTGGTGGAACATTTTTGTTTGTGAACTGAATTGTTTATAAGCAGAAGCATTCATGAGCTGAGGTATTTGTATATGTGCACATGTATGTAATACACACACACACACATATATATTGCATATAAATACATATATATTATATATATATATATATGAGAGAGGAAGGGGAGAGAGTATCAGAAAACCCAATTCTGCACCATTTTTAGGCCCTCACCTGTGAGGAGGCCATCAGGGCCCTGGAGCGGGGAGTGGTGATGCAACACCTGTAATCCCAGCCCTGCAGGAGGCTGAGGCAGGAGGATTACAAGTTTGAGCCCAACCTGGGCAACTTAATGACTAGTGAGGCCCTCCTGTCTTAAAAATAAAAAATATAAAGGGCTGGGGATGTAGCTCAGTGTGAAGGCCCGGAGTTAAATCTGCGGCATTGCAAAAAATAAAAAAAGGTTCCAGAGATTGGAGCTACCAAGACCCCGGATCCGTGGGCAAGACTTGCACTGACCCCCTCTTGTGGCTGCAGCTGGGAGCGGGAGAAGAGTGACCTCCACATGCAAAGGGACCGAGGCGAGCTGGAGAAGGATGAGGAGCAGGCAGACACTGATGGGGAGGATGCATCCACAGAGCCACACGAGGTGGCTGTGGCCAGAGAGGAAGTCAACCTACTGTTAGCCGAGCAGCGGAAAACCTCAGCCCTCAAGGTGAGGGGAGGGGAGGCCGGGCACATTTACAGTCAGAGGATGGTGCTTATTGGTCAAGGGCAGCTGACGCTTTGTGAGCATCCTCCCATCCATCGAGAAGCCCAGTTGTGACCACTTGATAGATGAGAAAACTGAGGCTCAGAGATGTGAGTGAATTGTCCCAAAGCCCCAGAGAACAGAAGGCATTGGCTGGGACCTGCCCTGGGTCTGACCTAGGGCTTGGGGCCCATGGTGTGGAAATGGGGCCAGGGTGCCACTGTGGCCCCACTGAGACCCTCCCGCCCACCTTGCCTTCTGTGGACTGAGCCTGGAACGGCGAAGGCTTCAGCTCCTTCCCCTTGCAGCAACCCCTCATGTGGAACGAGCACTCCACAGATGGCAAAGCGATTCCAGGGGCATCTTGCTCAGTCTGTGCTGGATTCTGGTTAAGCACGTCAGAGGCAGACCTGGGCTGTGGCCAGAAGGAAGCCGCATCCAAGATCCTCTCTGGAGAAGGAAGTCTTTTTACAATTTTGTGTCCTGAGGAGAGCTAGTTATTTATATGAGCTATTTATGTAATAGCTGGTTACTTAATAGTCTCTTTCAGAAAATGGCAGAGCTGGCGTATTACGGAGACTTGGGGGAAACACCAGGGCGCCTGGTGCTGCTGCACCCTTGGTTAAACATTTGGGGGTGTATTTCCAGGCAAAGGCACAGACTGATGAAGTCATGTTGTTAAAAGCAGGAGGCATTTATTTCACTTAAAAGCTATGTAACCAAACCAAGGGCCTATTCATATTATTACATCTGCCTGCAGCAATTTGGAGATTATGCAATTTCTCTTCAAAATGAAAAGTTGGATTTCCTTTGACCTTTAAAAATAAGAAAAATTCCTATTGCTTGACCAAGAGGTGTATACCAGCAAGAAAGCATGACCCTGAGGAGTCAGATATAGATACTGATATGTGGTGGTCTGTAGGTGATAGGTCTGCTAATTGACTAGTGAAGAAAGTGCTGTAAGTGTCCAGCTCCATGTCAGGCTCTGGGGACCTAAAGAGGACCAAAGCCAGGCATAGTGGTACAGCCTGTAATCCCAGCTACTTAGGAGAATGATGTAGGAGGATCACAAGTTTGAGGCCAGTCTGGTCAGTGTAGCATAACCCTGTCAGAAAATAAAAAGATGAATGAGCTCACTATCTGACACGGAGTCAGGAACACCACTTTCTGCAGTTCTGTATGGTAACACCGCCCTTGAGACAAAGGCTGGTGAGCGACAGGAGGGGCTGTTTGTTCAGCCAGGGAGTCAGAGGAGTGGAGGAGGCCCCATGGAAGGCTGGGGAGCAGGGTCTTGGTAGGGGGCATTGAGTCAACTCCCACAGCAGCCCCCTTCTGATCACAGATCAAGAAGGCGGTGGCCAGACATAGCTTTTGCAGTGTGCTGGAAGCTGTCATCTGACCCGCCTGGGGTGGGGATTCTCGGCTCACAGGGAAGCTTGGGCCCAAGCCTCATGCATGGAGTTGTGTGGTGTGATATTACTCCACAGTGTCACCTCGAGCAGGCTAGATTCATGGTCTAATCAAGCACTAATCGAGGGTTGCCAGAAAGGTGTTTTGGAGGCATGTTTAACATGTATAATGCCTTGACTTTAAGTGAATCTAAGTCTGTTGATGCCTATGTTAGTAAACAACTGTCCGTAAACAAGCACGTATTGGCCTGCACCCGGCTCAGCGCCCGCTGTCCCCCAGGCCAGCCTGGAGCAGCGGCTAGCCCTCGCCAAGGAGAAAGCGTCGCAGATGGAGACGCTGCTGCCCACACAGGTGACCAGTGAGGACCAGCAGGAGGTGCTGCGGTTGCTGTGCAGGGCTCATGAGCTGGAGGTGGAGAACACAGAGCTGAGGGCCGACGGCCTGTGTCGCAAGAGCCTGCTGTGCCAGAAGGACCTGGTGATCCAGCGCTGCCAGCAGCACCGGCGGCTCTGTGAGCAGCTCATCCAGGGGCAGCGGCAGTTGATGCAGGGTGAGCCCAGACCGCTGGATGCGTGGGTTTATATGTCATTATTGTCTAGAAAGTGGAGGCTGTGCCTGGGGTTAAAACACACTGAACAAACCGGGCATGGTGCTGCAAACCTGTAATCCCAGCACTTGGCAAGAGAATCACAAATTCAAGTCCCCCTGGGCAACTTAGCAACTTAGTGAGAATTTGCCTCAAAAAAAAAATTGAAAAAGGGATATAGCTCCATGGTAGAGCACCCTTTGGTCCAACACCACAAAACAAACAAGCACACAGAAATCCCTGAACAGCGCCCTGAGGCGTGGAGTGGACACCAGGCTCCTTCCTTCCTAGCCAGCCCACTGCGGGCAGCTTCCCTGCATCCTCTCCATGGGGTTTGTGCAGCGAGAGAGCAGCTGGGCGGATGTCTCACACTCATCCATGGAGTGTGCTGCACACCCACCCCACGGAACTGTGTTCTCTCTCACTCACCAAAAGCTGTTCTGTAAGGGCGAGTGAAATGTGCCTCTCTAGAGAAATGCTGTTTGTGTGTGTAGCAGTACTGGGGAATGAACCCAGGGCCTTAGCACCTCCCCAGCCCCTCCTTTTTAAGACTGATACAGGTTCCTGCTAAATTGGCTGTTTGCCCAGGCTGGGCTTGAACATGCGATCCTCCAGCCCCAGCCTCCCACAGCAGCAGGGATTCCAAGTATGCACCACCACACCCAGCTTCTTTTCTAGCTTTTGTTTTGACATACTTTCAGACTTACAGCAAAGTTTTAAGAATAGTACAGAGAATCCCTCTAGACTCCCACGTAGTAACATTTTCACTTTTACTTTACATTCTGTCTCTTTCTTTCCTTCTCCCCTAAACCATGTTTAAACCCTTAACTACTTTAAGGTATATTTTCTAAAAACAAGTGCATTTTCTTATGTGAGGGCAGGGTACCAACAGTGACAAAATACTGATTTCCAGACTGAATCTTAGCCTTGCCTGTTGTCCTGTTCATGTCCCTAAACCAAAAAATAGTCCTGATCACCCTCTCTAGTCAGGGTTTTGTTTTGTTTTTTACTGGGGGTTGAACTGCAGGCCTAAACTACATCTCCAGCCCTTTTTTATTTTTTGAGACAGAGTCTTGCTAAACAGCCCAGGCTGGGATCAAACTTGTGATCCTCCTGCCTCAGCCTCCCAGAGTGCTAGAATTACAGGTGTGCACTGCTGCACCTGGCTGAGAAAAGGCAGTAAAAATTGATAGCAGCAGTAAAGAGTCTTTTGGAAAGGAGAATAGATTCCATATAATCCCTGCCTGTGTGCAATCAAATTTTGTCGAGGTATAACTATGCTGTTTTTCAATTTCCTCCTTTAACGTTTTTCACTGAGGTAAGGATTATGTAACATGAGGGAAAGGCAAGTGAGAACTACATTGAGATTCCAGCTTATCTCAGTCAGAATGGCTATCCTTGAGAACACAAAAATACAATATGTGGTGGCAAGGATGTGGGAAAAAAGAGTCTTCTGCCCTGTTGGTAGGAATGTAAATTAGCACAGTCACTATGGAAATCACTTTGGAGGTTCCTCAAAAAGCTATAAATAGTGCTACCATTTGATTCAGCTGTACTTCTCATTGGTATATTCCTCCCAAATTAAAGTTATCATACTAGAGAGACGCCTGTGTGCTCATATTTACTGTGGTACAGTTCATAATAGCTAAGGTATAGAACTAGCCCTGGTGGCCATCAACAGATGAATGGATAAAGCAAATGTGACACAGCCAGGTGTGGTGGTATCTGTAATCCTAGCACTTGGGAGGCTGAGGCAGGAGGATCACCAAGAATTCTAGGCCATCTTGGGTCTACATAATGAATTCAAATCCAGTCTGGAGTTTAGGAAAACCAAAAGAAAAAAAATGTGGTATATACACATGACAGAGTATTATTCAACTACCATGAAGAACAAAATTATATCATTAGCAGGAAAATGGATGGACCTAAAGATCATTATGTTAAATGGAATAAGCCAGACTCAGAAAGACAAATATCACCCATTTCCCTAATGTGTGGAATCTAAGAAAGAAAGAGAGAAAAAAACATGGCATGAAAGTAGAAGGGAGACTATTATTAGATAAGAGGAAGGGAATAATAAAGGTAGCAGCAGGGCTGTAAGGGATGGCAAGGGGAGAGTGCTTACAATCAAAATATGCCATGTGCATGTAGGAAATTGCCACACTGAAATTAAATATTTTGTAGAATTAACACTCACTAACAAAAATATTTTAACTATATTAAAATGTATTAAATACTAACATTTAAATATTAAGATATATTAAAATATATAACATGAAATTTACCATTTTGCACATTTTGATTAACTCACTGGCGTTCCGTGTGTCCCCCACCGGGGTCAGCCACTGCTCTGCCTGGCTCTAGAGCACCTTGCTGGCCCAGGAAACTGCCCCATGCACAGCAGCTCCCACTGTGCCTGGCCCAGGCCCTGGAAGCCCCCAGTCCGCACTCTGTCTCTTGGGTTTACCTGTCCTGGACGCTTCACAGAAATGGAGCCATTCAGCACATGTTGCAGCCTATGTTGGAACATCATTCCTTTTCATGGCTGAGTTGCATGCACTCTGCTATGTGGATAGACCATTTTGCTTCTCCGTTGGTCTGTTCAGATGCACCTGGAGTGTTTCTATCTTTTGGTGATTGTGAATAATGTTGCTAAGAACATGTGTGTACAAGTGTTTTGTTTTTTTTTCTTTCAGAGTCTTTGCTATGTAGTTCAGGCTGGGCTTGAACTTACTTTGTAGCCTAGGTGATGATCCTCCTGCCTCAGCCTCCCGAGTGCTAGGATTATAGGCATGAGCCACCATGCCTGGCAGGGTTTTTTTTTAAAGCTTTTCAATTCTTTTGGAGTTTTAGGAATGGTCTTTTAACTTTAACTTAAATTTTATTTGTCTGTCATTAGAATCATTAATAACATTTTATGATTGAACAATAGAACAATTTTAAGCTTGGATTATGGGTATAGCTTAGTAGCAGACCACTTGGCTAGCATGCATGAGGCCCTGGGTTCAAACCCCAATATTGAAAAAAATAAATAAAAATAGATGAAAACATAGAAGAACACACCAGAAGAGCCTCTTCTACGAAGTAAGAGTTTTTGCCTCCTCAAAGCAATGGTACCGTCTTTTTCACAAGTGGTGACCATTTGCCTGGTTTTGTGTTTGGGTGGGTGGCTGGGGTGTCCTGACCCCACTAATCCCTGCTTTCCTGGCCCCACAGACAGCGGCGTGCAGGTGCCAGAGGCCCTGGAGAGGCAGTACCAGCTGTACTTCCGGGAGCTGGAAGAGGGCACCCTGGACCGCTTGCTGCTGCTGCACTGTGGGCTGGCCAGCTCACTGCAGGTGAATCCGACCCGCTGTGACCACCAGTACCCAAATATGGGTGTGATCAGGCATACAGTGGATGTTTAAAGTTTTAAAAATAAAAATTTTATTCCCCTCAAAATATTCCCTCCCTTTTTTTTTCTTCCTTTGGTGCCGGGGACTGAACTCAGGTCCTTGCGCTTGCGGGGCAGTCATTTGTTTTTTGGAGACAAGGTCTTGCTGTGTAGTTCAGGCTGGGCTTGAACTCACTATGTAGCCCAGGTTGGCCTTGAACTCTCAGCAATTCTCCTGCCTCAGCCTCCCAAGTGCTGGGATTATAGGCACACACAACCATGCCTGGCTCCTCCTCTCTTCAAACAGACTTTTCCCATTGTTCTTGCCACTTTCTGAACCAGTTCTGGAAGTCTTCTCTCATGAGTCAATGTCCTGAGTTGGTTCAAAATGACTATGGCAATTTCTGTGGAATAAAAACATGGTAGCTTATCCTCACCCGCCTTATTCTGGCACAGCCTCTGGCTCTTCCTGTAAGTCAAAATGGCCGTGAAAGGCATGCATTTTGAATCAATTCAGGACACGGAGGCAGCCATAACAGTGCCTCTTAGGGGACTCACAAAGGAGGACTTGCAGAACTGCTTCAGAAAGTGGCACGAACGATGGGATAAGTGTGTTCAACGTGAGGAAGGGTATTTTGGAGGGGGATTCATGGCAATGTGTCTTTTAATGTAATAAATCTTTTAATAATTAAACATTCGCCATAGTTTCCAATCATATTCTGAATCTCTTTTAAGTCCCTCCTTTCCATTCTTTGGGGTGGAGACCAGAAGTGGAATTGCTGGCTCGTACAATAATTCTGTGTCTAGCCTTTCGAGGACCCGCAAACTTCTGGGGTCTGACTACAGGTGTCCCCCGGTCCCATTTCTGCTCAAGGACAAGGCCCTGTGATGGTCCCTGGGGGCTCCTGAGCAGCAGCACTTCCCTGTCTCCATGGCAGGGGCTCGAGTGAGGAGGCTGCCCTGGTGGTCTCCTCCACTGCATGGTGGTATCGGGGAGGGAACCAACCTTCCCATGGCCCCTCGGAGACCTCTGCTTGTTGACGTGTCTTAGCTGCGTCCCTGCTGGCCTTGCCGGCCTTGTCTGTCTGGCCCCAGGACGCTTCTGTTCTGAAGGTACCACCTATGCCAGAGGAGGCCAGCGGAGGCCTGCACGGGGACAGGAAAGACCTCCCATGGGGCCTCCAGACTGAGCTGCTCCCGATGCTTCTGGAGAGAGACAGGTAAGTGAGGAGGGGCTGGATAGGGACTGAGGACCTCGGCTCACCTAGAACTCCCTGCTTCCTCTTTGGTGAAGCAAACATCCCCTTTCTGTAGCACTATTTTAAGAATAACATGAGGTGGGCACAGGGGCACAGGCCTGTAATCCCAGCATTCGGGAGGCTGAGGCAGGAGGATGGCTGTGAGTTCAAGGCCAGCCTGGATACATAGGGAGGCCTTATCTCGAAAAAAAAAAAAAAAAAGGGGCCCGGGGATTTAGCTCAGTGGTTTCACCGCCTGCTGTGCAAGCGCAAGGACCTGAGTTCAATCCCCAGTACCAAAAAAAAAAAAAAAAAAAAAGGACTAGGGATGTAGTTCAATGTGAAGGCCCTGGGTTCAATCCCCAGTGCTTCCCCTGCAACAAACCAAGATCTTCCCAGGTATAGTGGTGCACGCCTATGATCCCAGCTACTCAGGAGGCTGAGGCAGGAGGGTCACAAGCGTAGTGCTGTGGGGAAGAGGGTTACCCTGGGGAGAATGACAGCAAGACACAGGAGGCTGGGGAAGGCCAGAGCGGGGCCTTGCCTCTAACGCCCTCACATAGGAGTCTCGTTTTCTGGGCCCCACGCACATCTGTGCAGCACATGCCTGTCTGTGTGTCACGTGGCACATGCACACGTGTGGATGTGCATGTGAGCACAGCGTGCTGCTTCAGTCTGGGCTGGATGCCTCCCCGCCCCTGGAACCCCTGTGTTGGTTTGCTGCCGGCTCCACCTTGAGAATGTGGTGTCTCGAGGGGGACACGAGACCATTGCTCAGCCCAGCCTCACCTCTCTCCCTGGGAGGAGCCAGGCTCCACCTCACTGGCCAGACCCAAACCTGTAGCCACAGCCTGGATGGGTCAGACCTCGGCCTGAGCTCCCTCCAGCTGCGCAGGGGTTGGGGACCCTGTGTCCTCAGCCAAGGGGCAGTGCTGGAGGCCCCTCTGGGCCCAAGTTTCACTGGGGCTTCGTCACGAGGCTGTGTTTTGAGCTCAGGCTCCAGCCCCTCCCTCCCTGCAGGTCTGCCTGGGCCAGAATCCTAGTCCTCTAGTCCCAAACCTGGTCTCTCCAGGGGCCACCAGGAGTTACCTCACCAACCTAACAGACCTTGCAGGGCGCCTGTCCTGAGGCTGGTCGACCCCTGGTTCAAGCAGGGTTCTTTCTGCTAGCCCCCCGCCCTCTTGGTACAAGGACCACCGCACACAGGAGTCGTCTTTACATCCCTGGCCCACTGGGCACATGGCTCTGCCTAGATGCAGAGGTGAGGCAGGGCCCCTCTGCCAGGAGCCAGTGCACTCTTGGCCCTCAGCATAGGCCTGGCCATGGTAGGCAACCTGAGCGTGACCAAGGCCACTGCCCGGCCCGTGTGGGGCTACAGCCTTTGTGGCTGGAGCGGCACCGAAGCCCAGGTTCAGGCCCTGACAGTAGCCTTGCTGGGCCTCTGCTTTACCTGCAGTCATGGTGACAAGTCAGAGAAAGCCACGCCGCGGAGAAGGCCAGGCCGGCAGGACTCTCTCCTCCCTCCACCCCCGCTTCGCACCCTGCTGACTCCACCCATGCTTGAGGTTGGTGTGCCAGCGCTAAGGGGGTCCTCCCACCCTGTCGGGGCTGCATGGAGGAGCGGGGGTCAGAAGGAGGGCTGCCCCTGAGCCCTCACAATGGTAGTGGCCACCGGCACGAGGTGAGTATTGTCCTTGAAAGGAACAGGTGAGTGCGAGAGTTAAAGCCCCTTGTAGGTTCCGGTGGCCTCCTCCTGGCTCTCCAGCTCTCCTGTGCTTGGTCACCTTGGGGCTCAGGACCCAGCTGGACCTGGACCTGGACTCAGATCCCACTCTATCAGTCCACGCACTGCTTACCCCAGGACACTCAGTGATCCCCTGAGTGCTCCGCCACGAGGGATTCGGTGATGGCCACCTCCTCGCTTCCCTGTACTCACAGTCTTGAGCCCCGCGTCACCTGCGCTGCAATTCCCTGTCTCCGTTCCTCATTCCTCTCCTCCTCTGGCTGTGGGTATCCGCCTGTCCTCCTCTAGCAAGCACACAGTCTCCCTTTCTATGGAGAACGGAGTAGGACAGGTGCTGGCAGGTAGGATTGCACATGGGTGGGCTCAGGCAAGGAGGAGGCTTTGGATACCCCCAAGTAGGCAACTGGTCCTTTCCTGTGAACCGTCGTGAGGAAGCCCACAGGCTGGGCTGGGCATAGCTCATGGAGGAGTGCTTGCCTGGCATGTGTGAAGCTGTGGGTTTGAGCCATGGTACCATTTTTTAAAGGAAAGAAGCTGTTAGTGCTTTTCTTGCTCCATTGGTATAAACAAGCAGGGTGAAGATATTTCAGCTGCTGACACCAGCAAGGATGCCCCTTCACAGGCACCTGTGGGGGCTGCTCTGCCGTGCAGAGGGCTGGGACTAGTGCCCAGGAGAAGCCCTGGCCAGTGACGCTGGGTGCCGTGACTCTGGCCTCAAGTCACTGTACTGGATCTGCTCCTGGGGACAGCAGTGGTACAATGGGACCATAGTTACATCCAGTGACCTCTGACCATCCCTCTGGTGCTATTTCCTACAGAAGCCAAGCACCCTGACCATGAAGAGCCTCATCTCCAAGCTGAACCCCCTGGTTGGTCTGGAGTTGGGGACCCCATGGCTATCAGGAGAGGCTGGCAGCCCAGCCCTGAGTGCCCAGGCCCTCAAGGAGATGGCCCTGGGCACCAAGAGCATTGCCCGAATCGCAGCCAGCCGGCGCTCTAAGGCACAGGACCGGGAGGGCAGCAGCAGTGGCTCCTCCCGACATCTCTTGGAGGAGGCAGGCCTGGACTCCAGGGACCCAAAGCCCAGCGCCACCCCAGCCCCCAGCCCTGCAGACAGGAGGTGGCTCCCTGCCAGGAAGGTCAGGAGGAAGCGATCGCCCTCCGTCACCTGCAGCATGCGACCGGTGGGTGTGGATGTCAGCCAGGCACCATTCCTGGCTTGCCGGAGTGGAGCCAGGCCCGGGTGGGCAGGCTGGGGACTCCACTAGGCCGCCTGCACTGCACCTGACCCACCACTTCTTGGGCTCCCGTGGGAACTTCAGCCCCCAGCCATCAGCTCCATGAAGTTAGAACCCCCTGGGCGCAGTGCTGCAAGATGTTTGGTCTTTCTCTACTATGCTTTTGTAAATTGTTTTTTCCTTTTTGTGCTGGGGGTGGAACCCCACATGCTAGGTGAGCACTCTCCCACTAAACTGCATTCCCAGTCCAGGATTTAGTTTTAATTTTAGTTTCTTGCAGTACTGAAGTTTGAACCCAGGGCCTTTGCACTGTGCTGCATCCCAAGCCCTTTTCATTTTTTGAGACAGTATCTCACTAAATTGTCCAGCTTGGGTTTGAACTTGCAATCCTCCTGCCTCAGCTTCCCAGAGTGCTGGGATTACACATGTGTACAACCACACGCAGCCAGTATTTGAATTTTAATTTAAGGGAAGTGCATTGCTTGGTTGCAGAACATAGCAGTTAAATAACCGGTGAGATCTGGGCTGTTAGACGCGGCTGCCGCCACCTCTCCCTGCTCCCTTGCAGAGCCTGGTACTGGCCCTCCACCCAGGCGCCGTCCGCATCTGCAGGGGGGGACATGACTTGCCAGACCAGCTCCGCTCTGGCCACTGTGAGGGTTTCTGTTTCCCTTTCAATGGCCGCGTAGGAGCCTTTAGTCTTTGACTATGACCAGCACTGTCAGTCTCCCTATAAGACTGTAGCCTCCTCTTTGAATTGTTGGCTTGGGATCCTGAGTGATGTGAGCTACACCAAAGCTCAGCAGAGTGCCAAGGCTGGGGTGCGTGCAGCTCAGAGGTGAGAGCACATCCACAAACACACATCAGAGTGTGGGGTTGAGGACCACGGTATGGCATTGTCTTCGGGTCCCCGAAGCTCCCGGAAAAGTGGGAGGGCTTTCTTTTCCTTGGCGGGGTTTCTTTCTCACTACCCACTCGGTGAGTAAACAAGTGGGTGTATGGCCAGTAGCCAGGTTGTGGCAAAGCTTTGTCCTGCTCTGCCAACCAGAGTCCCAGGCCCAAGACACATGGGGTGCCCACTGGCTCGAGGGTGACACAGAACTGGTGACTTGTGCAGCAGAACTGAAGGGAGGGCGGCAGCAAGGGTCCCAGGGAGGGCAGTTGTCCATGTTCTCCTGAGAGATAGAACTCTGTCCATAGAGACACAGAGAGAAAGAGAGGTCTGTCACCATGAAGCAGCTCATGCACTTTGGAGTCTGGCCAGTCCCCAGATCCAAAGCCGAGGCAGCAACTGGAGACCCAGAGGAGACAGTGTTTCAGTTCAAAGCAGGAGGAAGCCGGCGGCCCAGCTGGAAGGCCGTGAGGCAGGAGGAATCATTTCCTATTGAGGGAAGGCCCACCTTTCTGTTCTGTTCAGACCTTCACCTGACTGGATGAGGCCCACCCACATGCTGTGGGCTGTCTGCTTTCCTCAGTGCAGATCAAACTGTCACACCCAAAAGCCTCCCAGACAAACCCAGGATACTGTTTAGCTGTGGCTCAGTGGGTTGACACATAATTAATTTAGATGGGAGCACCTTCCACGAGGGGGACTAGATGAGGGAAAGAGGGGACACAACCAGAATGTTATTCATTCATTCCCCCACCCCTGTACCAGGGATTGAACTCAGGACCTTGCACTTGTAAGGCAGGCGTGGTGCCACTGAGCTAAATCCCAGGCCCCCATTCATTCTTTCATTCACTCAACCCTGGGGGCTGAAGAGAGGGCCAGCAGGAGCTCCACCCATTTACACAGAGCACAGTAGGTCCTTAGTCAGTGTATGACCTTGACCTCTCACCCCTCTGGTACCCCTGGCTCACACCTGCCCTGCTGTGTGTGCCTTCCCTGCAGGTGACTGAGAAACCTCCCCTCTCTGTGGAGCATTTGTCTGAGAGCCAGTTGCCCCCTGGACACTTCCAGCCATCAAAGTCATCAGGAAAGAGCTTTTTCCCAGCTGTCCCTGCGGCCTCCAAGATAAAACCCACCCTCAGTTTCCACACAGGTACAGGGTTCAGGGGAAAAAGTAGCATGTTCTGTTCTGTGTCTTTTTCTTTCCTTTTTTTTTTTTTTGGTACCGGGGATTGAACTCGGGTCCTTGTGCTTGCGCAGCAGGCAGTGAAACCACTGAGCTAAACCCCCGGCCTGATGGTGTCCCCTGTGAACTTCTGCCACTGCCCCCGTGACAGGACCCTGGCCGTGTCCAGGTGATCATGGCCACAAAACATGGCAGGGCTGGTGCTCACCCACAAAGGGTACCTGCACTGCTGCTGCAGGGAGAGCCCACATGGAGAGGCGCCTTCAAAACGTAATGTGGCAGCATGGCAATCCCACAATTCCTGACCAATGCCTAGATTCTATATTTTAATTTTTATGTATTTTTATTTCTTATTTTTGATACCAGGAATGGAACTCAGGGCCTCACATTTGCCAGGCAGGCGCTGCGCTGCTAAGCTACATCCTCGGCCCTCTGTATTTTAAAAAGTGTTTCATTTTTCACTCTTGTTCCATTTACACAAGTGTCAGTCCCTGCAGATGGGAAGGAAACATGAGTCTGTCCTCCCATGGATCCCAGGTTGTGCCAGCTCACTCGTCTGCTCCCCTGGTAAAGGCTCCCCCTTCCGGAGCATGTACTGTATGCCCAGGCCAGAGAGCAGCAGTGACCTCCCCAGGTCACATGTGTCACCAGCATGGCCAGGTGTAGCACCCCAGGGCCCTCCCTCTGTGCCTGGCAGGGTACAAGGAAGGCCTGCAGGTGGCTGGGGCAGACCAAGGAGCCACCTTCCCTTCCTGGGGCCGTGCAGGTGGGAGCTGAGTGTTATCTCCCCAGGAAGCCAGGTCCCCCCATCCAAGGCCTGCAGGGCTGAGCTCCTCAGGTTTGGCTCCTCAGGGACAGCTGTGCTGGGAATGGAATGAGGCCAGGCGGGAGGACGGAGTTAGGAAAAGTGTGACTAGAGTTTGGGCAGGCGGGGGCCTCTGTAGGGTGACCGTTGAACAGAGGCCTGAGGAAGAGGGCACCCAGCTCAGATAGGGGAGACCCATATCCCTCCCTACCACTCCCTCCACTCGCTTGCTGTAAAAATAAATGTTCCAGGGTATAGTGGCAGACACCTGTAATCCCAGCACTTGGGAAGCTAAGGCAGGAGGATTGCTGGGAGTTCAAGGCCAGCCTGGGCTACATAGTAAGTTCAAGGACAGCCTGAACTAATAGTGAGACCCTGTGTCAAAAAAACCTAAATAAATAAACAAATGTTTTGTTTTCTTTTTTCCAGTACTAGGGATTAAATTCAGGGCCTTTGCACTGACTGAACTACATTCCCAGTCTTTTTTTTTTTTTTTGGTACCGGGGTACCGGGATCGAACTCGGGTCCTTGCATTTTCGAGGCAGGCGGCAGAACCACTGAGCTAAATCCGAGGCCCCTTTTTACTTTTTGAGACAGGATATTGCTAAGTTGCCCAGGCTGGGCTTGAACTTGTGAACCTTTTGTTTTAACCTCCCAGAGTGCCAGGATTATAAGCGTGTGCCACCATGGCTGGCCCCTAGCTTCTTTTCTATTTGCTGATGTTTGATAAACCCAAAAATTGCTCTTCATGGCCATGCAATGGGCAACTGAGAGCAAGGAGGGATGGAAGAAAGAAGTTCAGTTGGTGCTGGAGAAGGAACAAGGAACCAGGAGTGGAGCTGGGAGGAACTGAAAAACCACTGCAGGAGTTCACATAAAACATAAACCTTTAGCAGGTGCCATGACACATGCCCATGATCCCAGCACTCAGCAGGCTGAGGCAGGAGGATCATGAATTTGAGGCCCGCTCGGTGACTTAGTGAGACGCTGTCTCAAAAAACCAAAGGAATGAATAAAATAAAATAGGGCAGGGGATTCAGCTCAGTGATTCTGCTGCCTCAAAAGCGCTAGGTCCCAAGTTTGATCCCCAGTACCAAAAAAACCCCCAAAACCAAACAAACAAACCAAAACCCTCCAGGGCTGGGGCAAGGCCAATGAGGGAATTAGGTAAGGAGTCCACTACATAGTAGATTTTAGTTTATTTCTGGAAATTATTGAGTAGTTCCTAAAAATAACATTCTCCTGTCTCTGGTCTTGCTCTGTAGATGAAGCCACACTGCATGTTCCAGAAGTCAGCTTCACCTTTCCCAGCCCCACATGGCAGAATGGTGCAGGCCCCATCCGGGCAGCTCTCCTGCCCCGGGACCTCCGAGGTCAGTGCTGCCCACATCCCACCCTTTGCAGACCTGTGGCCCCCACCCTACCAGCCTTCAGGATGGGAAGCAGCCAGCCCAGGAGGGCGAGTGGCACACCCAAAACCTAAGTTTCATACTCAACAGGCCCTGTGCATGCTCAGGGACTAGGCAGGACCTGGGAGGGGAGCAGGATCAGAGCTGGAGGGCTGAGTCAGAGGAAGATGGAGCGGGATAAGAAGGTTCTCCAGACTCCTGGACCTGAGTACAGCTGGCAGAGCTGGCAAACATGGCTTCAGAAGGGCCCTGGGGACAGGCGCGGTGATGCCAGAACAGTGCAATCTAGATCAGACCCAGAGGGAGGGAAGGAAAGTCCCCGAGGGCCCAGCCAGCAGCCTTCAGTACAGTGGGGCTGGAAGAGGGAGGGCCTGTGGATGTGGAGTCCGAGGTCAGGTCCCCAGCTGGGGTGCTGGCTTCACTTGAATCTGCCTGGCCCACTATAGGTCTCCTCTCTGCCCCAGGGTCTGCAGACAGCGGAGGCCAACACCGCAGCCCACTGCGCCCCAGCAACCCCGTGGGTGCCCGGGTGGCAATGCCAAGAGGCCACGGAGACCGAGATGGTTGGTGGCTGGTGGAGCAGGCATCCCGGGGGCCAGGAGCCGACCCTGTCCCAAGGCTGGATGGGCGAGGGGCTATGGCCAGGGCACACGGGGCAGCCCTCACACCACCCCAGGGCCGCCTCACCTCCTAGAGGTCGGCGCCGTGCCGTGGAGACCCAGCCCTGCCTATGGACCCTCCCAGGAAGCCCCGGCCTTTCTGGGGTCCCCCCCACTGAAGACGCCCTTCCAGGACCACCCCACTTCCAGGGCCTGCTCTAGGAGGGTGCTGTCTGGGGTTGAGGGTTGCTCCAGCCCTTAGGCCCGGGCCGCAGAGGCCCTGGGGCTGCCCGAGGGGCCACAGGCAGGTGGTGGGGTTCCCCAGTTTGGAGGTGTGCAAGCAGGTGAGCCCTGGTGTTAAGAGTGAGCATCAGGTGGCAGCAGTTTTTCTCCGGCTCCTTCCAAGAACAGATCTTACTACGGAAGGCTGGAGACCTACATCCCACTCTGGCTCTCCTTCCTGTGCTTTTGCTTGGGTTAGTGTCTTATCCCACTCAGCTTCTGTACGAAAACACTGTGGCTGGGTGGCTTAGGGACCACAGACATTGGTTTCTCTCAGCTTGGAAGCTGGGAAGTCTGAAATCAGGGTCCCAGCCTGAATGGGCTCCAGTAGGGTCTGCTTCTGGGTTGCAGACTGCTGACCCTGTGCTGTGTCCCTGCTGCTTTTATGGGGGACATTATTTCCATTCAAGAGGACTGCACCTTGCTAACGTAACTGCCCTGGGCGCACCCTTTTAATACTATCACTTTGAGATTAGGTTTCACCAGGCAAATTTGGGAAGACACAAGCATTTCACCCACTGTGATTGTTCTGTGGATACTTCCCATTCTTGGGTACAGCCAGCCCAGGGGTTCCCTCCTGGAGGTTCCCAAGCTTCCTGTCCACACCCCCAGGGTAATCTTCAGCACATGGAACAGGAGGCCCTTGAAAGCCCCTCAGCCAGGGCCCACCTCCTCCCCATCTTGGCCTTTGGGGACCCACATGGGACTGACCCTGAGTCCCCTTGCCTTCTTGCTGGGGGCTCCAGCTGCCTCCAGAGTAAAATGTAGCCCCATAGCATGTGGCTGCATCAGCCACTAGCAGGGTAAAGCAGGTGCAGAGATGAGGGTCAGTGGCCAAAGTTTAGAGCCTTACAGAGGTAGGAGGGCCAGCCCAAGGTTGGCTGCTGAGTGATGGCCTCAAGCCCAGGCCTGGCTTCCTGAGACTTTGTTACCCCACCATGCCTTCAGGACACTGGAGACAAGCACTGCAGAGCTGCATGTAGGGCCAGGGTGCGGAGCAATGGGTGCATCATTAATGGGGGCTCTGTCCATTCTCCTGTCCTGGAAAGGTGGTGCATCTCCAATTTGCACACCTCTTCTTTCTCTCTCTTTTACCCTATTGGTGCCCATAGCAACTGGAGCCCAGGAGTCGTTGGCTCTCCCAGCTTCCTCTGTCAGTGGGAGCTGAGGATTCTTAGCCTATCTCTTGCCCAAGCCACAGTTATTTCTACTTTTCCTCTGTTGCAACCCTGGTTATGAAAGCAGAGGCTGTTGTAGCTGTTAGGGGACATGGAAATACCTCAAACTGAAACACAAACTGAGGAGCTGGGGGTGCAAGCTCAGTAGTGGAGTGCTTGCCTCACATGTGGGTTGGGGGTGTCTGGCTGAGCCAGACTGTGGCCGCCCCTGGGGAGGTCACACCTTGCTCAGAGGTCGGTGGGGGCACTAAAGGTGAGGGATGCAGCCAGCTGGGCAGGACTTAAAGGCGTCTGGAGGAGAAGACCTTCACCACCATGGCCACCACCAGGGCAGAGTTGGCCCTGACCCCACCAAGGCAGCCACTCAGCTGTCATACAGCCCTGGCTCTGGAGCCCCAATCTGAATGCTGGTCCTGACTCTGTCACTGACAGAGTGTACTGGCAGCCATGTACCGTCCCTAGTTGGTTGACTTCTCTGAGCTCCTTCCTCCTTATGGATAGATGGCAGATAGGAGAAAATTAGTAAAAATGTTTTCCCATGTTGCTAATGTCCAATCCAGTTATTTAAAATGGAGGGGAAATTAGGATAACATAAAAGTAACCATTTTAAAGTGAAGGCCTCAGGGGCATTTAGTCCATTTACAGTGTTGTGCAACCATTACCTCTAGTTCCAGGACTGGTTTTCCTCACCCCAAAAAGGGACCCACACTCATTACACAATCGCCGCACCCCACCCCCATCCCAGTAAGAGGTGATCTTGATCAAGGTCTGGGTCCTCTGTCCTCACACTCACTACCTGGCTTTCAGAGCTTTTTGTTCAAATTTCCAATGAGGGTTTTGTTAGCATGAGCTTGGGAACTTGAACAAAGAGATAGTTTGGGAATTGAGGCCCTTGAGCACCTCCAAACGCAGGCCCTCTGGGTCTGTGATTTCATGTAATCTTTATTATGCACCACTTCTCAGTAACTAGCAGAATTTCAGCTGGGGGAAATGACATTTTAAGAGATATTTTTGAACAAAGCTATACTTTATATATGGTAAAATGTACCATTTGAACACACAGCCTTATGGGTCTTGACAAAAGCATCCACCTGTGTAGCCACCACAACCACTACAACCAGGAAATAGGACTGTGTACCCTCTACGTACCCCCGTCAGAAGCCACTTTTTCCCCAGCCCCAGCCCTAATCCAGAAGGCGCCTGCCCCTGTGTTTTGCCTTTTCCAGAACATTCTCTAACTGGACTCCTATGAGGAATGGTTAATTGTGGTCATCAACTCAGGTAAATTGAGAAACACCCAGGGAATTAGTAAAGCCCACTGCTGGGTGGGTCTGTGTTTCCAGAAACGACTGGATCATAAGAGCTGACTTCCTCAGAGGTTAATCCACAGATGAGGTCATAATTTGATGGCGTTATTGGAAGGTGATGGAGACTTAGGAGATGAGGTTTAGTTGGGTGACTGCTCACTGGGGCAAGACCTTGGAGACTCTGTGGCTCTTCTTCTTTCACTCTGTTGTGCCCACAAGGTGGGCACCTTCCCTCCACCACACCCTTCTACCATGTTTCTGAGTCAGCTGACCATGGACTGAAACCTCTGAAACCTTTAGCCAAAATAAACCTCTCTTCCTATAAGTTGAGTATGTAAGGCATACCTACACACACACACACACACACACACACACACACACACATACATACACACACACACACACACACACCATAGAACAGTTACTAATACACTCATAGGTAACTTTGAAATTGGCTTCTTTTTTTTTTGGTACTGGGGATCCAACTCAGAACCTTGCACTTGTGAGGCAGGCAGCCAAACCACTGAGCTAAATCCCAGGTCAGAAATTGGCTTCATTTCTAATCAACACAATGCATCTGAAGGTCCTCTACACTGTTGCATGGATTAAGACTTTGTTTCTTCTTGGCTGAGTAGTATTCTATGGTGGGGTTGTGCCAGTTTTATTCAATCACCAGGTGCAAGACATCTGGGTTGTCTCCAGTTAGGGAAACTGAGTAAAGCTATGAAAAAAACATTCAAACACAGGTTTTTGTGGGAATATGAATTTCATTTCCTTAGCTCAAGACCTAGGAGTGGGCCTGCTGGGTTGACAGGAAAGTGTTTATAAGAATCACCGGATGTTTCCAGAGGGACTGTAATATTCTGGATTCCTACCAGCAATGTAGGAGAAGCAGCTGCTTTGCAGCCCCACCAGCCTTTGGTGCTGTCAGAATTAAAAATTATTCTAACCATTCCAGTACATAATAACGTTAAAAATGGCTTATTATGAGCCAGGCATGGTGGCACACACCTATAACCCCAGCACTCTGGGAGGCTGAGGCAGGAGATTCACAAGTTTGAACCCAGCAATTTAGTGACATCCTGTCTCAAAAAAAAGGCTTATTATGTAATTATTGCCACATAAATTTATGGGTTAAATTGTAATCCCAAAAAGGGTTACACTGGAGTCTTAAATACCAGTATGTCAGAATATGATGCTATTTGGAGACAGAGGCTTTAGAGAGATAGATTAGTAAGTCATTGGGATGGTCCTAATCCAATGTGAATGGTGTCCTTATAAAAATGGGAAATCTAGAAAAAATACAAAAAATGCAAATCTGGACATCCAGACAGGTATAGAGGGAAGTTAATGTGAAGAAACACAGACAGAAAACAGCCACCTGCAAGCCTAGGAGAGGCAGGAACAGATTCTCTCTGAGCCAACAGGAATGAGACCAACCCCTTGACTCCCAGCTGCTGGTCTTCAGAACCGTGGGGGACAGGTTCCTGTGGCTGAAGCCGTGTGGTCTGTGTTACTCTGTCATTGCTACAGGAGCACCCTGACACACACACAACAACACAGGCGTCGAGCTGTACACTCTGAATCCTGTTAATGTAACTGTCACCCACTTCCCAACCTTAAAACCCAGGAACAAGGAGTGATCAAAACATACAGTGAATTTAAAAAAGTTTAATTTATAACAGTAAAAGACACATGGCCATGAGTCCCTCTCAAAATTCACCCTCCTGCTTCAAACACACACATCCCATCATTCTTGCCACTTTCTGAAGCAGTTCTGGATGTCCTCTTTTGTGTTTTTATGAGGTGTGATAAAAATACAGTGAATGCTGCTGCAGAGTGCCATGCAACAGAAAAGGATGCTTGTAAAAACATCACAGTGAGTCCTCATCCACCTTATTCACTGGATCAGGCATTGTGTGACCTCTGGCTCCTCCCCAAAGTCAAAATAGCCATAAAATGGAAATGTTTTGTATCAATTCAGGTCATCAAGCCAACCACAACAGCACAATTAAGGACACTGCATAACAACGCAAATGCACTACTGGCCTTGTAGTGCCCACTTACATGGTAAATTGAGTTGAGTGTGGTGGTGCACACGTGTAATCTGAGCACTCCGGGAGGCTGAGGCAGGAGGATCACAAGTTTGAGTTGAGCCTGGGGAACATAACAAGACCTTGTTTCAAAATTAAAAAAGGCTGGGGATATAGCTCAATGTGAAGGGCCTGTAAAATACACACACAGAGACACACACAAAAACATAAATTGTATATGATGTATATTTTACCACAATTTTAAAAAATCGACGGTAAGAATAATAATTATTGTATGCTTCCTATGTATTAGGCATCTTGCTTTAGCACTTTGCACACATCTCATTTGAGTCTCAGAGACTCTTCACAAAGTAGCATCGCTACTCTTTTCTCGTGGATTTGGAGATGATATCAGAGAGCCTAAGTCACTTGTCGAGATCACACAGGAGTCCAAAGCCTTAGCTGGTGAGGGGGACAATCCTCGGCCAATGAGTTGAGGCTCATGCACGGGTCCAGTAACCAGCAGGCGCCCCATTAAGGCAGGGGCCAGGTGCAGTTGGACACATTTATAATCCCAGCGCTCCAGAAGGTTGAGGCAGGAGGATCACAAATTCAAGCCCAGGCTGGGCAATTTAGCGAGTCCCTGTCTCAAAATTTAAAAATAAAAATAAATAAGGGTTCAGAATGTAGCTCAGTTCAAAGATCCTGGGTTCATCCCCCATAGTAAGGGAGGAAAAAGGCCAATTTAGCATCACTGTAGTTCAAAGGAAGCCCGATTCTGGAATCCGACTGCAGGACGGGTTCCGCCCGTGCCCTTGTTCCGCCCCTGCTGTCGCGGATCGACTCCGCGGATTGGCTGCTGCGGAAGGGGCGGGGATCCCGGTGATCTGTGGGCGTGACCGATCTTGGCCGTAAATAGCGCGCCACATGGCACCGGCTGGCAGGGGCGGGGCAGCATGCAAAGAGCGCAGGCGCATTGAGGGGAGCGGGGGTCGCCCCAGCCTCCCCGGCTCCGGAGATGAATTCTCGCGAGAAGATGGGGGCCAGGCTCCGGCACGGGGGCGGGGCTACATCTCGGGAGGGCCAGTTAGTCGCGAGGCGGCGCCGCGGAGAGTGTGAGGACGGCCCCGGCGCGCGGATGCGGGTGAGGCCGGGGGCGCGGGGCGCGCCGGTGTCTGGCGGACAGGCACGGGGGTCTCGGCCAGGCAGAGGAGCGCGGGCCGGTCCCTTCGCCCGAAATGGGCAGGTTCAGCGCCGGCCCGCTGTGTGACCTTGGCCCAACGTGCACCCTCTCTGAGCCCTTTCCTTGCGGGGAACCGGGCCAGCGGGGTGCATGCCGGTGAGTGTGCAGCCGCCGTCACCTCCTGTGGCCTCTGCGGCAGACCAAGCAACCGGCCCTGCCCGGTGGACGGTACCAATTTTGTTCTTTGGCTACTTGGTCCTCAGGCACCGACATCGGTAACAGTTCCACGACAAAGATGCTGCACTATCCCCGGGATTCCTTGCGGGAGGCTCGCTGTCCGCGGTCGCTTTGCTGTCCTGGGGCCAGGACTGTCCCCCGGCAGGGTCTGCCCAGGTCTCCCCCCCCCCCCCCCCC